TACTGACTTCTCGAGGTCAGTTTCAATATAAGTCGGTAAAATTTATTATGTTATTTTTCGACTTTCGGAAGTCACTTATATAGATATTTTTATTATATCTATCTTCCGAAGGTCAGAATATTTAATTCTCAAATTTTACAACCTCCGGAGGTCGATATTTTTATTTCTTTATTTTTGAGATTTCGACCTTCAGAAGTCGATATTTTTATTTCATACTTTGAGATTCCAACCTATGGAGGTCGATATTTTTTCATTTGTTTTAGATTCCAACCTACAGACGTCAGTATTTTTATTTTTTATTCTTTATATTCCAATTCCGGAGGTCAGTATCTTTTATTGTTGAGATTTTGAACTTCGGGGGTCGATATATTTATTTCTTATTTTTTAGATTTCGACCTCAAGAGGTTGGCATTTTTATTTCTTCCTTTGAGCATCAAACCTCTAGATATCTGACCTCCAAAGGTCGGTAGTTTTATTTTTATTTTGAGATTTTGACCTCTGGAGGTCAATATTTTTATTTTTTATTTTTGATATTACGACCTCTGCGGGTCGATATTTCTGTTACAAAACTAGAAGCATTGAGCTGCAATTTAAGTATCCACCTGCATATTTATATCAAAATGACCTAAATAATTTCAAATAAACTATTTCAAAATAATTTTCATCTAACACAAAAAATTCCAAATGAGGTATTTTAAAATAAACTTCATCCAACCAAAACAACACAATATTTTCAACATATACACTAAACCATTTCAAAATAAAGTTCATCCAACTTCAAAATAAATTAAAATACGATCAAACAATTCCAAAATTATAGAAGTCTAAAATGTCAAACCAATACAACTACTCTTCATCACCCTAACTCTTAGTATCCCCCTTATCATTTTCATCACCCTCATGATTATCTCTATCATTACTGTTTCCCGGACATGGAGGAAGAATATTTCCTGAGTCAAAAAGAAAAGTTAGTTGGGCTTGAAGCGTTGCATATCTCTTGTTCTCTACTTCCTTTAACTTAATTCCAACACTATATTAACCAACTAAATCACATTAAATTATTTGAAGAACTTAACAAATATCTAAGTCTAATTAGTTTAGTTTCATCATAATTCCAACACTATATTAACCATCTAAAATACATGATCTTATTTCAAGAACTTAACAACTTTCTAAGTCTAATTAGTTTAGTTTAAACTTAATTGTAACACTATATTAACCAAATAAATCACAATAACTTATTTGAAGAATTTAAAAACTTTCTAAGTCTGATTAATTTAGTATTAACTTAATTCCAGCACTATATTAACCAACTAAATCAGATAAGCTTAGTTGAAGAACTTAACAGCTTTCTAAATCTAGATAGTTTATTTTTAACTTAATTCCAACACTATATGAACAAACTATATAACATTAACTTATTTGAAGAACTTAGCAACTTTCTTAGTCTAGTTACCGTAGTTTTAACTTAATTTATATACTAAATTAACCAACTAAACCACATTAAATTATTTGTCGAACTTAACAACTTTCTAAGTCTAATAAGTTTGGTTTTAACTTAATACCAACACTATATTAACCAACTAAATCACATTAGCTTATTTGAAGAACTTAACAACTCTTTAAGTCTAATTAGTTTAGTTCTAACTTAATTAAAATTGTATATTCACTAATTTAACTTATTAACCAACTTAACAACTTTCTAAGTCTAATTAGTTTAGTTTTAACTTAATTCCAATAAATTATTCACCAATTTAACTAATTAACTAACTTAACAACTTTCTAAGTCTAATTAGTTTAGTTTTAACTTAATTCCAACACTATATTCACCAATTTAACTTAATAAATAACTGAACAACTTTCTAAGTCTAATCAATTTAGTTTTAACTTAATTCCAATAATATATTTCACCTATTTAACTTATTAACCAGCTTAACAACTTTCTATCTAATTAGTTTAGTTTTAACTTAATTTCGACATTATATTCACCAATTTAACTTATTAAACAAAGCAATAACTTTCTTAGTCTAATTAGTTTAGTTTTAATTTAATTCTAACACTGTATTCACCAATTTAACTTAACAACTTTCTAAGTCTAATTAGTTCAGTTTTTACTTAATTCTAACAGTGTATTCACCAATTTAACTCATTAAACAACGTAACAACTTTCTAAGTCTAATTAATTTAGTTTCAACTTTATTCAAACATTGTCTTCACCAATTTAACTTATTAACCAACTTACTAACTTTCTATGTCGAATTGGTTTAGTTTTAACTTAATTCCAATACTATATTAACTAATTTAACTTATTAAACAATTAGCAACTTCCTAAGTCTAATTAATTTAGTCATAACTTAATTCTAATAGTATAAAAAAATCAGCATCTTATCAATTTAATTTAATTAAATTTAAATGCCCCCTTCCACTCGGCCTTTCTTCGCTGTGTGAATAAGGAAAAGGTAAGATTCAAAAGAATTTTTCAAAAGTTTTTTTAGCCGCCACTCGGACTCGAACCAAGATGCATTAGCACTGCTTCCTAAGAGCAGCGTGTCTACGAATTCCACCATAGCGGCTTGTCTTGAACTAATAATAGCCTATGAATAAGCAATCGTCGAGATTGAGTAAGCTAGTAATGATTCAAATCGATCAATACCAATAAAAAATTGTTCAAATAGGATTTTGAGGTTAAAGGTTCATTATTTTTTATTTGAGTTTAGAGTCTTAGTTTTTTTTATTTAACCTGAGTCTTTCCTATATTTTCTACTTTCCACGAATTCAACTCTTGTAACTAAATCGTTTTATACTCAATTAAGGAATAGAGTTCAAAAAGGTTTTGTTTTCATTATTTAAGCAGTAATTTCTTATTATTATTTTCATAAATATTAAAAAAAAGGGATTTTGACGTTAATCAATCGATCTGGAAAGACAATCCTTGTGAGAGCTTTATCTCTCTTGCCCTTAGTCCGTCTAGCGCCTTTCGGTTGGGGTCCGCCCAGGGGGCCTTCCCTCCAGATTTCATCAAGTGGTCATGCTAGATACATAAACAGACGTGGATAATTAAATTATGAGGTCCTTCCGAATGAGACGGGCCAAGGGACAGTCTCAGGTTGACAGTTTTTATGGGGAAACAATAGACTGATTGACTGTTTGTTAGGTCAGAGCCCTCAGTTCGGTCAATTAGCAATAATTTTTCTGTTGATTTCTTCAAGTAAATATTCGAATGCTCGAGGCGCTATCAAGACTTCTCAATTACCTTCTACTACTTGATCTAATGTGGAGACAGGGTATGTTCGTTATACCCTTCATGACTCGTTTAGGAATAACCAATTCATGTAACCCGCCGAAATTGAAGGCTTTGCATTGTACCCAACTGGGGCATATATCTAAACTGTACCCCTCCCGGAGTAGTCCCTGACTGAGGTCGTTGCATTACCTAAAGCATCCTAGAGAGGAAAGCAAAATCTATTCCATAGATACCATAGTAGTAAGGCCATAAAAGTCTTCACTTGGTCACCACCTCCTTTGCTGCAGGTGAGAAAGAGCCTTTTCAATTTATTCGTCCTCAGGCACTCTTCCGTTAACTGCGGCGACAATACATTCTTGTACCCAATTCTAAGAGGAATCTCGTCGTCATCTTACCTTTGGAATGCCGTCGATCTCCGCCTCATTCCTGATCTCCTCACTAAGCTTTTCTTCTCTCTCTAGGTTCCATTTCTTTGATCTCCTCTGCTTTTTTTATAATTTCCTTTACCTTGGACTAGCCATTTAACAGAGTCAAAAGGACCGGAGTGGAACAACGCATTCAACAGCTCCTTATCCCTTTTGGCACCTCAATCCTCACGGTAATAATTATGCCAATTCTACCTAAAAATCTCTTTAGGTGATCAAGGGGGCTCCCTTTTTCAGTAGATGAGATTAGGATGAAAGGTATTATCTCAACGCCTCTTTTCTCCGGCTTGTTCTTTCAAATACAATTTTGGCCTACCCAAACTTTTCTGGTTAACCCCAACATTCCCCACTTGTCCAAGACTCTTCTTCAGACTTAGATTCTCTAGCTTCTATTCTCGGGGTACGTAGATCACTAGGTAGCCTAGCTCGACCCAAGCAATGCCCAAAAGTCCCATTCCTTTGTTGGTCGGACCAACCCAACCGGTGACTTCCGACAAGTCTTTCTGAATTGGAAGACCAAGAAGCCTGGGGCTTTACCAGGACTAACTAAGAAAAATCCTAGGACCGGAAGTGATATTCGAAACCGATCGCGTTACGGTAAAGAAACTCAATATCATAATCGCAGGCAGGATATAGAAATCGGGCTGTATCTATATATAGTAGCATTGTTCAAATACTTTTACGAGAGGGTTTTATCGAAAACGTGAGAAAACATCGAGAAAACAACAAATACGTTTTGGTTCTGACCCTGCGACATAGAAGGAATAGGAAAAGACCCTATAGAAATATATTAAATTTAAAATGAATCAGTCGACCTGGATTAGTAATACATTACAAAGGCAGAAGGAGATGATTACCATACAAGACAGAAATAAACGACATCATCATATCAACAATTACCATAAACTAGTAAATCATACCACTAAAACAAATTTACGTGATTCTAGCAAGACAAGAGAATTATTATTACCCTTTTTAAGAAATAAATTCAATACTTAATGTATATACCCAAAAATAATATAACCAAAGGAAGATACATGACAAAGAATTATAATGCCACGGAATCGATTGCAACTACATTAGGAACAGACAGTCACAACAAAAAGAATATAGCGATGAGGGTGTAGAATTTTCACAAAATCAAACTAAAGTTTAAAGAAATCATACATATTACAAAAACAAACTTGAGCCAAAGAAGAACATAGTTTTCCATAAGAATCAGCATTTCTACACATAAAATTAGCTCTTGAAATACTAAGGATGAACATGCACATCTAATTTTTAAATGGCCAACACAAATATTTGGGTTTTAAAGTAAAGAAAATTCCTACCTGGGACTGATCTATAGAGATTAGTCCTTGTCCAATACTTCACTTTTATCTCTGGTTCAGAACATTGGCAGCGAGAAGTTTTCATTATTGTCGTTCTTGATCTTCTTGCGCTGCTGGTGGTGTCTCCTCGCTGCCTGTTTTTCCCCGAAGATGGTTGTTATTGTTGCTAGCTATTGTTCTCGCCAGAAATGAGAAGAGAGAAGCCGATGGAGCAACACCATCTACTGGCTGTCCGAGCTGGCGCCCTCTGGTCGGAGCTCACCGGTTCTTCTCCTGGAGAAGAGAGAAGAGAGGAGTCGGCAAGTGCGAGCCTCCGTTGCTGCTGGACGGTGTTGCTTCTATTCTCCAGTTGCTGGAGCCGCTGGTCGCAACCTTCTATTATAGGAGAGAGGAGGAAAATAAAAAGGAGGAGAAGAGAGGAGAAGCAACAGGGAGAGCTCACCAGCGATGGCGGCTTTCACCAAAAAGAATAGGGGGTGAAAGAAAGTGGGGGTTGCTGGCGGCTCTTGGAGAGGGGAGGTTAGAAATAAGTATAGGTTTTGGTCTTTTGTGTATTAGGAATAGGAAGAATAGGAGAATTTAATCTTAACCATCAATTCAAAAGAGATGCAGGGCCAAGATTAAATAGAAAGAGATCAATGATTAAGATTAAAAGATGGGTTTTTGGGTTCAAATTTTGTTAAAATTGAAATAAAATTGTGTAAAATTGAAATGAAAGAATGATTATTATTAATTACGAAATATCGCTATTCTTAAAAAAAATTATCTTTACTTAACAATATTTAATTAATATATATATATAATCAATACAAGTTTAATTTAATAAATTTAATTTATCGATCAAGTTATTTTTAAATTTTAAATTATATTCTTCCTAATTATATATATTCAAATCTAATATGTAAATCTCACCTTAAATTGATTATCAATATTTCTTTAATTGATGATGTACTTCATACATAATTAATCAACGTATTTCATAGTCAGATAAAGTATACTTTACATGTAATTATAATTAGGAAGTGATCCCTCCACTTGACATACGTTCAAGATTAAAAGTATATAATAATACTATGTCGCATTTCATACTGGAATAGATTATATGTTAGCTCTTCACCTATACATCATAACATGAGATATTAAGTTCGCGATTAGACGACAGACTAATAGATTTGTACAATACTCTAGAAATATAGGTATAATTGTATCCTAATTCATATCAACATAGTTTGATACTCTAAATATGGATTATATATATTGTTTTAATTTATTCCATGAAGTCTAACTTGTTATTTATAGTGTCACGTAGGCAAAATAGGGGTAAAAAATTATTAATAAAATAAGCTCAGGGGGGTAATAGGACCTTAGTATAGTATAAGTGTGTCTCTGAGATTTCGAGCATAGGTTGACGGGGTACTTGGGCATTATCCCATTTATAAAATTATACAAAATTGTTATATTTTTGAAACAATTAATTGTAAGTTTCAAATTAAATTTTAGTATTATGCTAAACAACAAAAATTAGGATTAATGGAAATATTTTAAACAAATAAACTTCTGGATATAGCTTTTATAAAATGCATTAGATATAATAAAAAAATACAGACCTCGTGACATTAAATTTAAAGATAAATGAAATTATTCATATTAAATAAATAATATTTACATCGGGAGGCATATATATATAATTGTATAAATTTAATTTTATCGGTCAATGAAAGTTTATCAATATCAAATTTAATATATAAATCTCTTTAAATTGATCATCGATATTTATTTAATTAATAATGTATTTCATATATAATTAATTAACATATTTCATACTGATATAAATTATCTTTTACATGTCATCATAATTAGGAAGTGATCACTACACTTGACATACATTCAAGATCGAAAGTATATAATAATACAATCTCGCATTTCATACTGAAATTGATTATATGTTAGTTCTTCACCTCTACATCATAACATGAGATATTAAGTTCATGATTAGCCGACAGACTTATAGTTTTGTACATTACTCTATAAATATAAGTATAATTATATCATAATTCATATCAATATAGTTTCATACTCTAAATATGGATTACATATACTTTTTTATTTTTTCCACGAAGTCTAACTTTTTATTAATAAAAACATACAAAATGATTACAGTTTTTGAACAATTAATAATTTAATACCTCATGATGTCGGTATTTAGATGAAATAAAAATACCGACTTCATGATGTCAGTATTTGAATGAAATAAAAATACTGACCGCATGAAGTCAGTTTTTGAATTTAGATGAAGTAAAAATATCAACCCATGAGGTCGATATTTGGATGAAAGAGAAATATCGATTTCATGAAGTTAGTATTTATATGAAGTAAAAATACTGATCTCATGAGGTCAATATTAGGATGAAGTAAAAATACCGATCTCATGAGATTGGTATTTGGATGAATAAAAATTCAATTTTCATGATATCAGTATTTGGATGAAATGAAAATACCTACCTCATAATGTCGGTATTTGGATATGAAAATATCGACCTCATTAGGTCAGTATTTATATGAAAATAAATACCGATCTCATTAAGTTGGTATTTGGATGAAGTAAAAATACCGAGAATCATGAGATCGATATTAGGATGAAGAAAAATACCAACTTCATGAGGTCGGTATTTGGATGAAATAAAAATACTGACTTCATGATGTTAGAATTTGGATGAAATAAAAATACGTACCTCATAATATCGCTATTTGGATATGGATGAAATCAAAATGTCGACCTCATTAGTTTGGTATTTGGATGAAAGATAAATACCAATCTGGTGATGTCGATATTTTAAATTAATTTATATAAAACTGTCATCTGATTTATCAAAGTTAATTTAAAATATCAATTTATAATTTTATGGAACTCATTATATAAATATTTTAATGAAAATTAATATAATTATAGACTATTAATTTTACCGATGTTCGAATGTGGGTATTATTATATTTTTTGTTTTTTATTTTACATAAACTTTCCTCCAAGAGATGATTTAAATAATATTAAATCAAAGTATTTCTTAATTTTATTTTTTATTTAATTGAGAAAAAACAAAAAATATGTTTATTCATTTATTTTATTTAATACCGACATCAAAAGGTCAGTTTTTTATTGTAATTCATTTTTCCCTCTTTATTTTGCATAAGAACCAACTAGTTTTATTCTTTTTAACAATACCGACCTCCTAAGGTCGGAAATTACAAACTCAATTTGATGTTGGTAATTTTTAGGTCGGTATTCACTGTTTTTTAGTAATGAGTTGTAAAAAACTTGGTTCTCCTTAAGCATTTGTAACACCACCCTCAAATGGTTCATGTGATCACACTCATTTTTCGAATATATCACGATTTCATCAATGAAATCAATGACAAATCAATCCAGGTATCTTCGAAACACCCTATTCATGAGATTCATAAATGCCGTCAGGGAATTCGTGAGACCAAAGGATATTACTAAAAACTCATAGTGATCATATCTAGTCGAAGTGCCACCTTTGGTATATTCTAACTTTTCACCCTATGTTTACGATACCCCGACCTCAAGTCAATCTTAGAAAAATAGCTTGTCCCCTGGAGTTGATCAAACAAGTCGTCAATCCGAGGGAGAGGATACATATTCGTTATAGTGACTATATTGAATTGGAGATAATCAATACACATTCTAAGGGACCCATCCTTCTTCTTCACACACAACTGCGGAGCACCCCAAGGACAAATACTAGGTCTAATCAAGCCTTTATCCAGAAAATCCTTGAGTTGAGCCTTCAACTCTGTCAATTAGGCTGGAACCATCCGATAGGAAGTAATTGAAATGTTATTTTTTGGTAACAAGTCGATACCAACATCAATTTCCCATTCGGGAGGAATACGAGGAAGATCATTAGGAAATACCTCTAGAAATTCCCTCACTACGGGGACCTACTCAATGGGAGGAATTTCAAAGTCTAAATCTTGGACTATTACAATATGGTATAAACACCCTTTAGAGATCATTTTAAAAATCTTTCAAACAAGAAATAATACGACCTCTAGGAATAGAATTTCCCCCCTTCCACTCTACAATAGGCTTATTTGGAAGGCTAACTTCACCACTCTCGTTCTACAATCTATAGAGTCAAAACAAGCATGCAACCAATTCATACCCAATATGACATCAAAACTAAATATATCAAGTTGTACTAGCTCAACATAAGTAACTCTATTGGGAAACTTAATAGGACAATATCTGTACATCCTTTTTGCAACAAGCGACTCATAATCGTGATAGACACCATAAAATGTTCATTAGAATGTCGGGTAAGATTTCAAATTTCTTAGCTATCAAGGTAGTAAAAAAAGATAATGTAGTGCCCATATAAAGTAATAATATACATAAAATAGAGAATACTTTCACCATACCGGTCACCACATCCGGAGAAGTCTATTTCTCACTCCTAGAGCGGAGAGCATAGAGGCGATTCTTCTTCAGAGCATTATTAGAACCACTTACTTGAGCTTGAGCACTACCCTTGTCTTGACCCCTTACATTAGGAAAATCCCTAATCTTGTGCCCAATTTTACCACAACCAAAATAATTATCCATTCCTTTAACACAATCATCATTATGATTCTTGCCGCACTTTCCACAAGTTGGCTTCTCGATTGGTGAACTAGTACTCTTTCCTTTTTAGGCTTAGGGTTAGACACCCTATCATCACCAGCCTTAGGGAACTTAGAAAGAACTTGATGAGAAACCCTCTTCTTAAACCTAGGCTTTTCTTGTATCTCAAGCCTTCCCTTTGAAGGACCATCATCAAAAGATCTTTCCCTATTAGAATATCTACTCTTCCTCTAAGCCGTTGGCTCTTACTCTTGTTGAGCATGAACCATGTCATGATAAATGGTCATATTGTCATGTAGCATAGCCGAACGACACTCCTTTTGAAAATAATATGACACTCCTGTCAAAAAACGATTCATTTAATCTCTAGGGTCGGAAACCAAACAAGGATCATATTTTGACAATTTAGTGAATTTCAAAGAGTATTCAAGAACATTCAGACCTCCTGAGTGAAGGTTGATGAACTCCACTGTCACGACCAGAATCTAGACCCAAGATGAAACCAGCGTCGTTGACCTCTCTAAGGTCGTAGACAAGCCAACTTATGTCATTCTTGCTTCTTGTAGGTTAATTTTAGCGGAAAATTTGAAACTTTTTGTTCCTTAACATGCTTACGAAACATTCTACTACGTACGTAATTGTTCACCATCAACCATCATACATTAGGATCATCAAATGAAAGGGAGAATTTATTATAACGATAAACATGTACTTGCCAAAATGGCACAAATACAATGTCTGATCAAAATGGAAAAGAAAAAGCTACTGGAACATACTCCACCAGCTCAATCCTAAAACTAAGCTATAATGTAAATGGGTAAGCGTCCTGGAAAGCACGAGGGCCTACCAAGTCCATATGAATGAGTGACGTCCGGATAACTACAATGTCGATC